AATGCAATTCAAGAAAACTTTTTTTGGGGGGGGGGGGGGGGGGGGGGGGTGTGTGTATATATTAGTGATGAAAAATAAGTTTTATTAATAAACACTGATTAATCTTTGAAATAAGAAGAAGGTAAAATCATATAAAAAAACAACAAAAACTGGGGAACGGATTGAGGTGGCTGGGGTGTGAGATAGGAGGAGGGGAGAGAGGTAATATTATTAATGGTTATAGGGTGGGGATCTCAACTGTTTCCATTATGTGATCCAGAAATTGAAATAGATAATATTGATTTTTAGTATTGTTTATTGTCATTAGTAGGTTATTTTACCACTATACAAATAAGAAGCTTTAAAAAAAGACGAAGTCATTCTTCATCGTTGATCTAAGGAATCTGTGTATGATTTGTCCCTGGCCTGTCAACTTATCTGTCACATCTGTACGGTTATTAGATGTTGGTTAATTTATGGGGCTACTGTCTATACCTAAATGACACGCGGATTGATGTTTGGAATATGTTTACGCCGATGGAGGTTATACATCATGTAACTCATCAAGGAAAGTACAAGGAAACTAAATAAAAGTGCAAGCGCAGTTGAATTTTTAATTTAAATGAATTTTATTGGATAAATACTGCACAAAAGGATTGGTCGTACGTTATCACAACTTATCAATGTCCTCTCCATAATACAAGCACGCATAGGCAAAACTTAACAATGGCCTAACAATAATTAGCACATGATGTATTTCACAAAGTATGAGAAAATCAGCAAAAATAGGACAGTAGAAAAAGTGTCGGAGATCAGAAAAAAATACCGATAGAAGAATTGAGTATCACAGTGTAGGAGTCAACATCTAGGTATAAATGATACTATATATTGACCTGTATTTAAGCAAACCGTTTACTATCAACAATAAATCTTTGAACATACTTACAAATAACTTTGTTTAATTTGACATCCAACGAAATATCACCAAACAACAGGCTTTCTAATGTTATATTGGTATACCATATTAAATGTTGAAACATTGTATTTCTTTGCACATTATACATTGAACAATACAAAATAAAATGTTAAGCGTCCTCCATAGTATGTCCACACCTACATGATGGACTGTCAATGAGATTGACACGGAATAAATCATAATTAAGATTACTAACGTTATTACGTATACGACAATGTAAAATGTTCACGTTCCTTTCTCCAAACTCTTTACAAACTTTTTCTCATAGGGGTACTTTATTTGGTTTGATAGAACTTTTAAACTGTTTTAATGTGGTACTATTTCATTTTTCCAGAGACAGGTTATTCCATAAATTACAGGTATTAGGTATAAGAGAAGACATAGTTAGACTAAGACGATAATGAGGAATTTGATATTCATCTCAATTTCTAAGATTATAAGCAGACAGGTCAGACACTTTCGGACGAAGAGGGACACAAGAGAGTTTGGTGAATTTCCTGACTGAACCTGATAAAGAAGACTGAGTTTACTTAACGACCTTCTTTTAAGGATTGCCATTTTAATTCTTGATATACTCGAAATTTACTTGTAAAAATTGGGCAAACCTGTAATAATTCTGGCAGTTTCATACTGGATGTTTTCAATAGCTTCTGTGTCTTTTTCGTTACAATTGTTCCAAACCTCACATACATCAAGACTAGTATACCTTCTCTAGATTCCTCTTTCTTAAAGTATATCTTAAATGTCTATGGGTTGATAAATACTTCTTAGTTTTATTTATAATGCTATCAATATGAATACTCCATTTAGCATCCCCACTAATATTAACTCCTAAATGCTTTTGAGAATTGACTATAGGAATCGACTTTCCGTCAAAATTAAATTTTGGTTCATTAGAGCAAGAAATGAGATTAATATGATTTAGTTTTCCTTGGATAAAAAGCCATAAACCATTCATGAGACCAAAGTTTTAGTTGTTCTAAATTAAAATTTATTACTTGCTCCAATTCGGCCAAATTCCCAGATGAATGTAATAATGCAGTATCATCAGCAATAGTCTAGCAACTGATAATAAAGTATCTGAAATATCATTAATATATATGAAAAATAAAAGTGGCCCTAAGACTGAACCCAGTAGGACTCCAGCTTTGAGAACTCATTCAGAAGATGTATAATTTTTCATAACAACTGATTGTTTTCTTTCAGAGTTAGTGTTCAAACCATTTCAACAAATTTCCCGTGATTCCGTATTTTTCAAGTTTTAAAATTTACAGGCGCAGTCATTTGAGATATCAAAGCTCGTTATAAACCAGACCAAAAGTAGATATTCTTTTGTTCATATTTATGGAAATTTTATGAATTGTTCATGAATTAATATCATCTTTGAATCATGTATGCTGGAGACAGAGAAAATCGAACCCGAGGGTAACATATTGTTGAAGTTGCCAATTGCTAAACTTCGTTATTATTATGTCAATTATTGAGATTTCTTAGCCTGTATCACACGGGAATAGTGTTTTCTGAATGAAAAGCATATTTTTGATATTTATTATGGTATATAATTATTATGCAAACCAGTTAATTTCTACTAAAACATATTCCATGATATGGTTGTAATTACGGGGGGTTTGTAGGGTTCCTTGCCGACGTGGAGATTCTCAGATATAACCAAGCCAGGATTTTAGGTTCAACATTGTATTCGTCTGTAAATCATTAAAATATACACATAAGACACATACATTTCGTATCGAATACGAAACGCACCTGACTTAAATAACGCAATACACAATACACACGTACATTGATTGTAACATTCCACACCACACGTTTTCCAAACGACCAGACTTTAATTGGACAATACATAATTGACGAGATAATTTACACAATGGCGTACGCAATAATATATAAATGTGGTTTACACTATAAAAGTACGTTCTCCATTTATGAATATATAAACTAGAATTCTAGTGAGAATAAATACATACGCTCTACTAAATGACAAAAATATTGACCACGCCCGTCGGCGAAAATATAAAGGTAAATTAGAAATAGTCAGAAAATAATAATTTCAAGAATAAATAATACTTTACTTCTAATTCTATACTAGTTCCGAATATGTAAAAAGTATTATTCTAGCCTATAAAATAAACAGAACATTGACCTACCTAGTATGTGGTACCTGGGATAGACTCCGTTCATGATGCTAATAATGTAGATTGAGATGATGTGATCGATGTGTTCAGTATGGAAGGTATCGATGAAATGGGCAGATAGAAAGTTCAGAGGTAGCGAAGAAAACTTTAGGGCGGGAAAAATGCACGCAATGCGACAGATGTCATAGGTCATTGGTCAAGTTGTCAAACTAGTTTACAAAAGACATACACAACATACACAATACGTCACATAGACCACACACGTATACACATCTAAAAACGAAAGTAGCGATGACGTGTACGGCGACTTCGGTAGTGAAAACGCGCACGGATAACGGAATGAAAGAACAAAATACGGATTAGAATATAAATAATGAAATCGTAAATTATATTGTTACTAAAGAACTCATATTCAGTATGTTCCCACTGAGTATGTACTTATTCAAATAATTATGAATATCAAAATAACAAGGGTACTACATGGTGTAGTGCTTCTTGGAAAATGTTTTTGAACGGAACTCTGTTGCATACCATCATACATTGTTAAAAAGATAAATTTCAGTCCTTATGTTTACGTTCAAAACAGAAAAGGAAGACAACATTTTAAAGTTCTATGCGGTCATATCCGGTTCAAAAACAAATTGTCAAGCTCTGGTTTTCTCTGGTTCCGTCTGCTTTTGTGGATTGGAAACCATTCTGGAATTTTCGTCATAATTTGAATATGACGTCACGTCATGATTGGTCCCTGATTATTCAAACAGTTAGCAGAAGGAACCGAATTGATTGCGATTAGAAAACATTCACATGTAATGGTTCTTGTTGTTATTAGTTATTAGGTTTAATTTACCACCACTACACCATGTAGCACCCTTGATACGCTCACTTACGCTCTCTGCACCTCTGGGATATGCCATCGCAAAATCAAAAGCTCAGTGTGCGCCACCTTGTGGATGAGACAAGATGACTAGTTTGATCCTGCAATGTATACCAAAAGAGTCTTGCTGTCTCGTAACGGTAAACTTGACGAGATTTGAAGTCGGGTGCCGCTCCTTTGTAATCTTCAAATAACAGGTATCAGTAATGCGATTGGTCAGGCTATTTTTCCTGAGACCAATCAAATAGCTAGCTGCGTGGCTTCAGTTTTGCTATGACGAATTCCATGGACGCATAGAGAGCGTAAGTGAGCGTTACCCATTGAGTATCGAGGATGTAGTGAACCCAGTGCGCCTCGACTTCATCAATGGCGCATGAAATGTAAATGTTATAACCTGTTTCTCAAACCTTATCTATGGCTGGCAATATATATCTTTTAACTAAGTATCAACTTAAGATTGCCAGAAAACAGCAGAGCAGAGTTTTAGAGTTCGTTATGTTGACTTTCAATATGATGTTTTGGTAATGAAGTCAGAATTTTAAATTTCCATTTCAACAATTTGAAGACGACGTGCTTTACGTTTGCAATAAAATACAAGCTTAGTTAAACTTCAGTTTTCCCGGGAAATTTTTCATACAGTCTGGCTTTGCACGTGACAGTCCGTAGTCTGTATTCAGCAAAAAAAAAAAAAAGCGAATCTCAATTAACTTTAATATACTTCTTGTACAATAAAAATATCTTACATTGAGATTGTCATGCCTGAAAGTTATATTGGTATTAATGTAAGGATTAAAATTCATTGTCAATTAAATCCAACTCGGTAACTTTCGGCACTTTCCGTAAACGAGTAAAGGGGAATATGTTTGTAAGAAACCGTTAAAATATGGATATTAATCCTGACGTTTACGTTAAAAATACCGAAGATATTCAGTTTTACATCTCTTAGTGCTAGGTTTGATCCGTAAAACTTTTTTAAAGGTGTTTGACAGAAAAATAACACACAAATGTAGATAAAAAACTCTTTTTATTGATCATGAACGGTATGTGAGTGATTCTTTAAAATCCAAGGTTCCTTTCTCGATATACAAATATCTTCTCTTCACCCGTAGGACGTGTCATAGGGAAATAAAAAACGAGGTTATCTACTAGTATCTGATTGATTTCAGGTATAAAAAATAGGTTTGTAAAACATGTCGTTCTTTGAATCTTACAGAGGAGCAACACCCGACTTCAATGCCAGTCAGTTTTACCGTTACTGTGCCGCAGGATTATTTTGATGAACATCAATGGATCAAACTTGTTTAGGCCTAAATGTATCGTCCGCAAGTTGGAGCGTACAGAACCTTCGATTTTGGCACGACGTATTCCAGGGGTATAGAGAAGATACGTACATCGAGAGTGGACAATTTATCTATTTAACAAAGATTATAAAAAAAGTTATTCCTACTTATATATCTATCACTCTTGTCGGCCAGATCGAAGCGGAGTGGGCCTTAGTGTGGGATGAAACCGATGAACCGAGAGAAATCCAAGTTGTCTGGCAGGTCACCAAATAACTTTCCACGTTCGATTGGGGAATCGAACACCGGCCGTCTTGGTGGAAGAGGAGTACGCCTTCCACTGCGCCGACCGACCACACTTGGATTCCGAAGATGACAGAAATGTGACATGAAATAAACATGTAATGTTCTACGGTGTTTAAGAAGGAAACCTATAAGGATAGTCTGCGCATGTCGGCTGCGTGGAAGGGGTTGCTGGGCAGTTGTACATCAGTCGTAGGGCCTGCACGTCGCCTTCGCTCATAGCCGTCGACTTCCCGATTTTGTTCAAATACTCCGAGAGGTTGCTTGCTGGAATTGGTTCAATTGTATAGGTACCATCTTTGCTGAATGCCTACAAAAAGACAAATGGCAAAGTTCTAAACGAATGATTGTCTTTTTCCTAAAATGTCCTCATATCATTAAGTCATGAAACTTTCAATTACAATTTAGTCTATAACCTTTGACCTTTTGTCCCTATCCCTATATCGTGTTAGTTGTTCACGTACGCGTGAATGCAGTGTTTTCAATGCGTCAGCGAAGTGAACACTTTAAAAAAATATGGTTTTTGAGCCTAACCTTGCGAGAACATTCTGACTTACTTATTAGACCGATTTGAATATGTCAATGATGTTAATAATACAAACAGATGAACAAGATAGACATTGTTTATTTTTGTTTCTTGTTTTCGTTTTGTTTGACTGGCTACAGAAAAAAAAACTGACAATAGATCAAGGTCAAAAGACAGTGGTTCATATAATTACAAATTATGAAAGAGCTACTCTGATATCAAAGCCGGCCAATTCTACTGTCATGCTGCCGCCCGATTTACTCTAACCAAACCATCACTCTGAGATGACAGGTATGTATGATTCTGTAACAGCTTACAGACTAGTTAAATCCTATTTATGTCTTATCATTTGAATTTAATTGATTTATATTCGAACAAATGGAATGAGGGAGAATATAAATCGTATTATCCGCAATGTTGTACCATGCTGTACGATGCGAAATCCTAAGGTGCAAAGAGGTTATGTGATATCGGGATTGTAACCATGGATTTAGAAGATATTAAGGCTTCTTGACACATCTTCATCAGCGTCCATTTTCGTGTCCTTATTTGTTACATAAAGATGCATAATAATGCAGCCTCAAAAAAAGTTGAGAAAATTTTGTTTTAAAAAATTAGCATTTTCTAGTATTTTTGGAAAAATAAATGATGCTATACTAAGGTAAGCATAGGAATCACAATATTGAGATTTCAATGGTTTATGTCCATTTTTTCGTGGTCTGTTGAGCCACCTCAAGGAAGGTTTGACAGTTATGTGATCATGAGAGCCGCTCACCCTGTTACTGTAGTGCATGATACTCATGTAGTCGTAAGGGATTCCTCTTGAGTTGATGGTTCGGCGGCTGAACTTCTGGAAATTGTTTTCCATGCCACTGCGTATGTTGTTTGAATTAATTTTCACAAAAGAGTCTCTGTCCGGTCTAGATTGTTCGTGAAACAGCCCTAACGCGTGTAGGAACTCGTGTGTGGCCACGCGAAACTGTAATAAAAAACTGAATGGTCAGTATACTGTCCAAACTTTAAAAAAAACCTGCACTCTATCTACAAATGTTTTATTTCCTATCACCCTTCAAATTTCGTTCAAATATAACATCTCATGAAAATATGATAGCCCAAACTAAATGAATAAAGTAAGAGTTAATGATGAATTATGAATGAGAGCCCCCCTGTGTTGACATCAGCCCCCCCNGCTTGGAAAAGGAAATTTTGTGAAAACAAGTGACAGTCATCAACTCATTCACCTTACAATTTTAAAATGGACTTGCTCATTCTTTGATTTAGTAAGTTGAGGGGTGAATGGGTTAGACTGCAGCATTATAGTTATTCGAAATTCGAAATATTTGAAATAAAATCTTACTGTTCTGCATTTTGAGCTAAGTGTAAGATCCTGTGAGTTCTTTCTTCCTCGGGATCTCGTCGTTACCCCAACATAGGAACTACAGCTGGAAAATAAACAGAGTACGAAGGTCACTTCAGTGAATTTAACTTGATGCCATAGAAACTGCCTTGTCTGACGTCATTCGGAACACAACATAATTGTCAATCTAAAACATGTTGTCGGAATACATCACAAATTTTCATTGAATTCGGATTACAGAATTATGCTTGAATAGACAGGATGTCAGAATTCTCAAGGGTTTGCATTAGACAGGTACGTCCCAACAATAATATTTACACTGGATGTAAGGGTTACCAATAGTTTCTTTCGAGCCCTTGATTTTCATGATTGGCGTCTACAAATACTTAATGGCAACCAATAAATCATCCTCGATATCCAGGGATTTCGATCACTTTCGCTCTCTACACCCCTGGAATATGTCATAGTAAAACAAAGGCTCAGTGTGTACCACCTTGTTGATAAGACAAGAAGACTAGTTCGATCCTTTGATGTTTATCAAAAAAATCTCGCGGTCGCGTTACGGAAAAAAATTGACAGGCTTTGAAGTCGAGTGTTTCTCCTTTGTAATCTTCATAGTACAGGCATCACCGTAGCGATTGGTCAGTTTTTTTTACCCGAGACCAATCAAACAGCTATATTCGTGCCTTCAATTTCTCTATGACATATTTCAGGGGTGCAGAGAGCGAAAGTGAGCGTAACCCCGGGATATTGAGGATGCCAATAAATTGGTGTTGAAGTTTGTACTTGTAGAATATGTATCCGATTTGGAATGATTTTAGCGTTTGAATAATTGATTAAGCAATGTTGGAAGGAATTGATAACATATTCTGTTGCAAATTGCTACCAAATACAAATCCTCTTTTATAAATTTACAAAGAAATTGAAAGGATATGTTTAGCTCAAAACTATCTCTCTTACCAAGATACGGTATTCATCTTTCAGTTTGTTGCAATGCATTTTCAACTCTTGAATTCCAACCTAGTTAACACATGCACGATCTGTAGTGCAAGGCTTCTTGTTCAACTTTTAGAATTACATATTTTGTTTTAAATTTCCTGTATTCAAATGCACTCAAAGGTTGAAAACCTGTAATTTTATAAAATGCATCATACTGTGTGGATTTCATTGAATACGTCTGTAGCAAATTGGAATTTTAACAAATATTTCGATTTTAATAAACATATTTTCACTTGTTGTTACTGGAAGTGACAGTCGTCAACTAATTCATCCCTATAGTTTTGAACTGGACTTGCTCATTCTTTGATTCAGTTAGTTCAACTGTGACTTAAGGGGTGAATGGGTTAGACTGACATCACCGTCAGCTATACCTACCCGGATCCATCGACGATCTGCACGTGCGGTATACCCCTGTTAGCGACTTCGTTGTCTATAATCCGGAAGCATATACAGGTTTGTTCCGAGATCCTCATCATGGCTCGCTGGATTCTCCTTCTGTGAGAGGCGCCTATAATGAAACATAACTATCAGTCTCTATCGTTGTTTGCTTAATGAGTTGTTCAGGCGGAATTTTCCAAATGGTGTGCTTTGTTTGATATGTTCTTAAACATTACTAAAACATTTACAGGTTTATAAACGTTTTTAACCCTTCAACAAAATTTACTAAGGTTCATAGAACGTTTTGCTTAAAATTGTTCAATGGATAATTTTATATGTATTATCATCAAACTTACAATGTATTGAACTACTTAAACGAGAAACAAATTTAGTTGGAGAGCATTTGGAAAATAATCCTAGTAAATCAAAACCATCCAACCTGAATTTGTTTTTGCAATTTGTGAGATACAAAATAATTGTTAAACAGATGTTCCCAATGCATACGTCATTTTTATTTCACTCGCTGTATCGTTCTATGGAAGGTTTCGCAATCCAGCTGTTTCGTCCTTCCATCAATCATTGGTGAATTTAGGAGACACAAATGGTTGAAATCTAAATTGGCCTAAACTACTATCAAAACAGGAGGGGGTCGAGGTGCATACAAAACAAAACCGATTAAACTGTATTTAAAACCAATACTTCTATTTTATGAATTTAAATATGACACAGCGTCAACACACATGGTCAAAATCGAAACCAAATTCAGTGCTAAGCATCAACGTCAACCAAGGAAATAACAAAATAAGACATTATAAACTTACTAAAACCCGAGCTAGCAATTCGTACGGGCATAACTGCGTTAGGCCAAAGTCGATTGGGGTCCCGTCTGATTGCTCTTTTTACACGTGACGATGGCCGACCTGATCGTGCGCCTGCACTGATCGCATTCATTAAGGTTTGCATAGATGTGATCCGGTCTGTAGTATTTGACATCATAGCTACGGCGTCCTCAAGCAAATCAAAAGTGCTGGAAAAATGTTTAAAAAAAATTTGCAATTTCCGACGTGCTGACATGTTGTTCTTCAATAATGTTTAATTTTTATGAAGACGTTACAATCTTCTCAATTTGTATCATGTTGTTCTATTTGTCAGTAACCAGTATTAACTTCAGTCTTGCTTCCTTTTTCTGCAACAATGATGCATATAATATCTATCATAAATAATTTATCAATACTTGTAGATTGTTTTTGAAAGCGTTAAATTAAAACAGATAAAATTATTTTATAAAACACAATAATGAATACATGACATCCATTGTATCTGCATTGAATTTGATGTGTTGTTGTACTGGCCGCAGGTAGGTGATTTTTCTCCAGAAACTTTTTTTCTACCACCAAAACTCGAAAGGTACTTAAATGACCGTAGATGTTAATAGGACGTAGAACACAAAAAACCCAAACCAAACCGAACTTAACTGTTGCTTTCACCTTGATTATTTCGAAATAATAAGCAAGTCAGACTAAAACCAATGAGAAATATTTGACATTGTATGGCCGTAAAGGAATTTTATCATAAAGAGGTCTACTGGTTTTGATATGGATGTGCCTCTTCTAAAACAAATGTTGATATTCTATTACCGAATGTCACGCGCACTGTTTGCAATACCGTTAACCTGAATAGAAGATTTAAAATTACAAAGCAACAAACATTGTATTATTTGTGTATGTTGGATGTAACTTAACGCAGATCCAGGCTAACGTGAAATGGGCCTTTAAACCTGTGCACCCATGTTTCCGCCTTCTTGAAAGCCCAGTAGCTTCTTGGGCACTTTTCCTATTACTATATAAAAGGCTAAATTGTGCAACTGTGCATTTAAAATAAAGTAGATGTACGAAATTCTTAAAACATTGACTAATTTGGTTCTTAATCGTTTACAAACATGCCAGAATCAACGGCCCCTCCAAAATATAGAAAATGCATTTCCACTGTCCTTATTCAGGCATGTTCGGTTAGTACTGGAAGCAACATGAGCAAAATTGCATGTCCTTATTTCTCTAGAAAGTGTTAAGGTTACTTTGGTCTCCGTACAGGCCCGGGGATATATAAAAACATGTTGTATGTACTATGCGGCTACTAAAGAATCCTCCTGTATGATCCAGATTATCTCTTGTATCCTCTGCCAAAGGGACATGGAACCATAACCCCCATTGAAACAGTTGGCCTCTATCTTTTCTCGGCTATCGGTGGTCGTCATATGATTTTGGCTTCTGCAAGGACATAAACCACTGAACTCTACAAGCTAAGACTACCTCTGATCGAGTGTCCTTATGGCGAAATCACTTATCTATTTAATACGAGGTTATTCCATTCTTTGTTTTTGCGTGCAAAAAAGGAATGTATTCTGACATGCAGCCTTGCACGAGTTTTCTTTGTTTTCTTCAAATTTTGCCCCGTTGTCATATTTTGTATGAGTCCAAATTATTATCATATCTCTAAACATTTTCTTCAGGTTGGTAAGTATGTTGTAAGTAACACAACGCAAATGCAGCTCTGAAGGATTCTATGCTAAACAAATGGGTAGTCAACATCTCTAATAAGGAGTTCACCACGAGAAAGCGTTACTCGCTAAGGGTATGAACTATGCCATCGTTCCAGATAAAATCCCAGTTGATGATTTTGTTATAGCCACAGAACAGGCATGTTAGAAACTAAGCTATGCTGAGGCTGATCAACTGAGATCCCAGGTGACGGGGGTTTTAAAATCTACAAAATTACCAACAAGTAGTATGACGAAAGAAGAACGGGTCGCACTCCAAACATTAGGCAGTGACAAATCCATTACCATAATACCAGCTGGCAAGGGGAAGGCAACAGTTGTCATGAACACCGAAGATTATGAGACCAAGGTCACAACAATGATACAAGACAACTAGACATATTAACAGCTGCAGACCAATCCAACTCAAAAGTTTAAAAGGCGTCTCATAGCCATCCTGTCAAAATTAAAACAAGAGAGCAAGATTACCGAAGGCTAATACAGATATCTGTATCCCACAGCAGAGAGCACTCCTAGAATGAACTATACACCCAAGATCCACAAGCAGGGAAACCCACTGTGGCCTATTGTGGACTTCACTGGATCCATTGGTTACAATGTTTCCAGATTATTAGCAGACATTCCTTGACCGCTAGTGGGTAAAACGGAAGACCATGTTAAGAAATTTTAGCAGAAGCTATGTGTACCATAGTGATTCAAGAAAGAAGACGGAACCGTGAAGGTATTGGTGATCACGTATATAAAGGGTATTTTCGAAACCATCCAGAGGATATGTCGCGGTCATGGCATAGCAACAGCCATGAAGCCCCACAAGACGCTTCGCAATATCCTAGTTTACCCTAAGGATAAAACACCTTAATAAAACGTCGCAGAATGCGTATACAAAGTCGGATGCAAAAATTGCGACACGCCGTACATTGGAGAGACTAGAAGGCGTCCGCCTTTGTGAACACCGGACAGATACAGAAACCCTAGAAGGTAGGAAATTCACCAGATCAGAAAGGAAGCAGTCGGAGTCCCAGATGAATAAATCGAGACTAGAGGGATCAAAGACTCTCGCACATCTATGACCAAGTATTAAACAAAGGGTAGCTGAATCAAGTCATTTCGGTCCATATATAACAACGCTTACAGCGTAGCCGAAATCGACAGCGGTTTTGTGGAAAACTCGTACACATTTTACACCTTTGTGTACATACGCTGGTTGTGTAAAAAAGAACTTTTCATAATATTATCATATCTATGAAAAGTCCCGAATAACTGGCTCCTGTCAAGGCTGATGATGATATTTAGTCACGATGAGGAATGATGATGAAAGAGATGAAGATGCAAGAGATGATTGACAAACCATGCTAAAGGGAGTTGTATGTATGTAGGTGTATGTGATGTTTACGTATATATGTGATAAAAATGTCTCTAATTATTTTTTATAAAAAAAAATAATATCTTCCTCTTATATCGGAGCGAAGCAAATCTTGTTCTTTTAGCCTTTCTTGGTACGACATTCATTAATATTGTTTATTACTCTTTATATTTTATTCTTTTGTAAATTCTGACTGACAGCATACTCAAGCAACAGCCTAACGAGATATTTGAATAATATCGTTAATGAAACATGTTTTTGACCAGTTACTCAAAAGACCAATCGATAACACCAAGCAGTTGTTATGACATTTTCTTTGATTGTCATCATCTCCATGTTTAAAGTTATTAAATGCTGAAGGCTGTATAGAACATCAACAGTGAATATACCACTGGGACAAGCGTTGCGTTAGGTACTTGTCAAATGTCCATCTTTCTTCCCACCTTCGTCTTTTTCTTTAGGTGTAGTTTTCAAAACCTCTTCTCGTATTTTCTATAACGTCGCCCATTGTTAGACTTGTGTATACACTAATAGTTATAAACTCCTTCTTCTATATATAGAGGCAGTGTACACTCTGATATATAGTCCGCCAAAATGGACCATAATCGCAGGCTCCACAAATCTGATCGGTCACCTGTTTATTGTAAGCTATCTACTGCTCTATGCAACACGGGGATTTGTTGTCGAAATTTGGTCTGGCGATAGCGATTGTGAGCGCTCTTAAAGAAACTATCAATACCTATATGTCAATTAATTCATTTCTCCCTCTTTTGACGACTGTACGTCCTGTCCGAACTCGACACATTCGGGACGCTACATCGTTTAAAGTGATTGTATATTGTACCTGAATAATAATGTACCTGGTATAATTGTGTAGGGGACGACGTATAATAGTGTTTAGTACATCCTAATGTTGTACTGTTCCTGGCAAATGGTTCATAGTACATGGATACATACATTTGGAAATATGCATTCAGGGGATAGGCCTAATTTGAATGTATTTGGTTGTAAGTAACAAGGTTGTTGATGTACGATAATGTTCAATATATTACATGATGCTATGCTGAACTGGTATATTGGTATATTGATATACCATTTAAACTTTATTTAGTTCTTTGTCTTTAATAAAGCCAGTTCGTAAGGATCTTCGAACAGCAAAGGTAGTGTTTTCACAGTTGCCACATAGTGGTCAGCTGACTAAATACAAGTAATATGTTATTCTTAAAATACGTTTTCCATGTATTGCCTTTGGAGGATACCAAGCATTTTGTTTTGTTTGTGCTTTACGGCCTATTAACAGCTGTGGTCATTTATTGACGAGTCAGGTCAGAGTAGTGGAGGCAAACCGGAGTACCCGATGAAAAGCAAACGACCTGCAAACATTTCCTCGCGACTGTTCCAAATAGGCTTCGAATTCACAATGTTGGAGGGTTAGTGATCGTACACGGTCAGGCGCCTTAACCACTTAGCCACCGTGGCCCAAAGTAATTGTAAATGATTAATGAAAAAAACTTACATATGGGTTTGCATGTCTGTAAACTGATCCACGGACATCATAATATCTCCCTCCAATTTGAAGGCATTTTCTTTCTGAATATAGGACGGTTCAGCCTTAATAGATGCTGCGGGATCTGCAAAGAAAAATATAGCTTGTCAAAACCTAATTACAAATTCGTCTAAAAGTGATTTACATTTACATGTTATACCTGAAAGAGATGTAGACATATCTCAAAAATAATTGAGATGTCACAAATTACTGCATCATGACAAGTGTATGACAGACAACGGCTATGATAAATACCTTCAGCTTCCTCTATGATCTGGTCTGTAGGCATGATGTCTTGGTTGGTCCGTGGCGATGATGCAGAGTTATTATTCAACTGAAAACAAGAATAATAACAATATATTTGTTACTGTAAATAATTTCATTTTCGTGAGACATTGATTTTCAAATATCAATTCTACGAATGATTTCTAAAAGTATTGAATTAACGTCCTCTTAATTATGAATTTTAGTAAAACCTGCAAACATATTCGGGGAGTAAGCACATGCGAAAATAAGTGATTTACAGTATTTATTTTCA